GTGCGTACAGAAGCTGCAGTTGGTGGGAGTTGGAATGCCGCCGGTGAATCCACCAACAAAAAAGTATCGGTCAAGATCAACCCCTGTGAGAAGGGGAAGGCCCTTGCTGGACAAAAAACAGGTGCGACAGGTGCCACGCTCTCGGTCACAACGACGAGTGCAACCGGCGGAAGTGGTGGAAAAGCCGAAGCCGCTGGAACTGAAGCCTCGTGGTGGGTTGTCGTATCGGTTCAGCAGAGCTGGGCAGATGTGGTGGATGATGATGAACAGGCGGAGGCCTTGGTCTCGTATGCCGCTTCCTCAAGCGATTCAAGCGAGGAGGAGACCAATGCCACGCAACGCCTGAAGGAAATCTTCTTGCAAGAAAGGGATTCACAGAGAACTGCGATTCGTGGCAATGTTCCGCAGAGTGGTTCTTCAGGCTCCAATGACGGGCCGAAAAAATCGGTGCACCTTGGCGAAGGGCGCGACAAAGCGTCGCGGGGGGAGACCCGCCAAGAAGTGACTTCACAAGTTTTTTCGCTACCACAACCTTCTCGTCGAGCTGAACGGTCTCAAAAAAGAGCAAGGGATGGCTCAGTTATGGTTGGTTCGCTGGCGGTGGGCTCCACGGATGAGGTTTTACCTGGGCAAGGTGTTGCTGGACAGGTGAATGTCTCTGAAAGCGCTCAAGTTCTTCCTGGGCAAGAAGTGGCTGGACAGGAGACGGCGCCGGAAGGAGCAGTACAAATTTCTGGCGAGGAGACTGACCAAAAAGAAGGAGAAGGTGGGAGCAATGAACTCTGTGGTGATGGTGCGAAGATATTGGATGTTTGTCCGGTGAAGAATGACCTTCAGCAATTGCTGGATAAAGGCCTTCTGACTCGGATGTATTGGAAGGTTGCTGTTGGCAAGTTGCCTGTGGGGCAAAGAGACTGCCAAAAAGGGTCCAATAAGATGGATCGAAATTTGGTTATTAGCATGTCATCCGAGGGTGCAAGCGAACAGGAAGAGAACCTGGCACTGGAGGACGATGCTGATCAGTCAATGGGTGACGGTGCGATGGTAGTTATGGTGTATGATCCAAGGACGCTGATTCAGTCGCCAACAACTGATTGGGTTATGCGTCGGTCGTTCCGTCTGGCCAGCAATGGCGTACATGGCACAGAGGATATGTGCTGAAATGGTTCAAGTGGATGAAATGAATGCCCAGCTAGGGACTGGAGCACTCCTTTTTCAAAGGAGAGATCAAGGACATTATTGTGACCTGCATCATTCGTTCCATGACAACCCGTGCTTGCCGGCGGTGGGAAATTACCCTCTTTCGGTGATGGGTGCCTTGTTGTCTCCTGGTCTGGAAGGGGAATTCAAAAATACTGACAAGTTTGGAACTGCTATGGAGGCAATTGCCTATGATTGGAGTCGCAGTCCAGGCATGGAAGTTCACATTGAACTTATGGCGAGGGTAGCCAAATTGGTTCACCCGTTCCTGAATCTTGGAGCCCAGGGGTCGGTGATGGTTTCGGAATTTCTCTGGCAGCGCGGGAGGGCCCGGTTGATGGAGTTCCTTCAAGCGGCGACTTGTGCGGACCAATTGGAGGCTCTCTGGAAAAGGATGGATGACGATGCTGATGAAGAGGTGGATCCTTCGACAGCGGTGCTGGAAGTTCTTGGACCAGAGGATGCGGTACTTGATCAAGGGAACAATGAATCCCTTATTCCCATTGAAGATGCTGGAGGTGAGACAAGTGGTGACACTGGAGGGGATGGCAAAGCGCCAGAAGTTTCTCCGGAAGAGGAGACATCCAGTGGGTCATCAAGACTGGCGGACACAAGGATTTTCTTGTGGTCAGTGTACTCCCGCGTGGCTTCTAATTTCTCTATGCAGGACCGCACTACTGGTAAGATCTTTGACAGCACAAAAGGGTATCCTGGTGAAGGACCAAACAATGATGACAATCCTTCCTCTAAGAGGAACTTACCCTGGATCTCGGAAGACTACCTCGACGAAGTGGTGTCAAAAAAGATGGAAAGGTCTTCAGATATGGATGGGTTTGTTCCGGGAAGTGAGGGACCATTGGAAAAGGTAGAGGTGGAGAATGTTACTGCCTCTAAAATTCTTATGGCTCAGGGATATAGAGCTGGGTATAGGAGGTTGTGTCGTTTGAACGCATCTGGATGCAAGGTTGGAGCAATGAAACGTCCAATCAAAAGGGTGCAGAAGATTGGCACTAGAAAGGCCTTCACGAAGATGTTCAATGTTTTTGGATCGTCTCAGCATGGCTCAGGAGTTGGCGGAAAACCAATCATGAAGGTGGTAGGACCAAGGCCAGGTTTTCCAGCTGTACTCCAAGCACCAAATACTGATAGCACGTCGGGTGAAGGGAGCAGTCCCCAGGTACATGGCAATGTTCATGTAGAGCACAATCGCCCTATGGACCGGTGCGAGGCAGAGCGCTTGGAGAAGAGGAAGAAGGGCTTCTGCTATTGGTTCGGTAAGGGGAAAGATCGCTGCAAATTTGGTGAAGACTGCAAATTCATCCATTCCGAAGATGATGTGGTGCTACATTCGTATTGGTGCAAATACTATGTGGCAGGGAGAGAATGTTTCGCTGGAAAGGATTGTGGGTTCTCGCATGATGCAACTGGTGTCAGGTGCATCCAGTTTGTTCGGTCTGGAAAGTGTCGTTATGGTGACAGGTGTGTCTTCGAGCATGGTGTTCCGCTGAATGAACAGAGGCCAAGGTCTCCAAGGACGCCCCCAAGGGATGGTCCAAGGAGAAATTCTGGTGCAAATGGTGGAGAAAAGGAGATTTCTCCTGAACAGTTCGATGATGGTGAGGAGGATTTTATGGTTTATGACGAAGATACCAAAATGACGGAACTGTTGATGGAGGCGATTTCATTTCTGTCCGATGGCAAGCCAGATTTGGCTCCAGCAGACACGGACCCATTGTTCAAACTCCTGAAGTTCACTGGAGATACTGACCAAATGGATCAAGAATGGGTTTCGTGGACCACTGGTATGTTGACCGTGCTGGAACTTCTCGAAGTAGTGAAGTCGTATGAGGTTTCGCTCGCGGAGGTGGAAGAATGGGTCAATGACCTGAGGATATGGTATGAGCGAGCCAATTTGGGAGAAGAAAAGGATTCCAAAAGAGGCAAAAAGAGGTCCCTAGAAAGGGAGTCCAGCAAGGATATTCCTGCCGAAAAAGAAGTGGTTGAGACTTCGGAGACGGAGGTTGCCGTTGAAGAAGAGAAGAAAAAGGTAAAAAAGAAGAGGAAAGCTGCAGCTATCGAAGATCCTTACACTCTCATGGTTCCAAAGCCGAAGAAGATGCCGACGATCATTGAGAAGGGTGGATCAACATCCAATGTGGTGGTTTCTGCAGTGGAAAAATCCTCGAAGACGCGCACAAAGTCAAATGTCGGTGGAAAGACAAAGAAGAGGGAGAAAAGTCAGAGTCCCAAAAAAGAAGAGGTGGTAATGGTGCAAGGTCCTGAGGAAAAGGATCGTCCATCTGATGCGGATGCACCAGTGTCTACCACTGTGAATGCAGAGCTGGGTCAATCTTGCCAAGCGATTGAGGACGCAAAGAGAGAAGGATTGGTATCCTCAATTCAAAGGTGCGTACAGGATCCTGTGCTTACAGTTTCGGACCTAGTATATTCTGCTGCAACTTCACCTCAAGATTGCCAACAATCGGAAAAGAAGTGATTGGATGGTATGGATGAAGGGATGGTTTTTCTCTTTCTGGAGACAGGTGCGCTGGAACAGCCAATGTGCTGACAATGTGGTGGTTACTATTAAGGGTATGGAAATCCCTGATAGTAGAAGTCAGTAGCTTTTCGCGTAGCGAAGACCACGGTTTGTGGTGAAGAAGGCCAAGGAGTCTTCAATGATGAGAGGATCATGGTGAAAAGAGATTCTCTGTGGTTAGTGGGTTAGCCAATGTGCTATAATTTCGTCCTGGATGACGTTAAACCATATTGTGCATTTCAAGCAGCTGGCTGCTGCTTTAATGGCAGTTTTTGGCCAAAATATCTGCACCTCCAAGGTGTCCTAGGAAATCCTAGGACAGGGGGAGTGCGGAGCTGCAATTGGCATTGTAGAAAGGAGTTAGTGTTGAGGGTTGGAAGGGTCAATGAACCCGGAAATCTTATTTGGCTCAAGATGGCCCAGAGCCGTCCGCTTTTCGTTGAAAAGGTTGTGTCCGTGTGTTGGGTGTTGGGTCTTGTGGGAGGTAGTAGTCCCGACCCTTCTCCCTTAGCCTTTCCCTCTAGGGTGGGATTCTTTTCTTACTGGTTCGATCTGGGAAATCCATATAGGCAACTGTTAAGGGTTGGTTTCTTTCCCTTTTCCCCTTCGGTTGCCCCCGTACCCTAAACCCTAAACCCTAAACCCTAAACCCTAAACCCTAAACCCTAAACCCTAAAGCCCTCCATGCCCAAGAGCCATAGAAGCGGTCAGAGCCATCGCGTAGCAGGAGGCGCCAGCTATCACCTAAAAAAGGTGCCCCGCTATTGGGACAAGTCAGAGCCGTGGTGCTTATTATTACTACTACTACTACTACTACTACTACTACTACTACTACTACTCCTACTCCTACTACTACTACTACTACCACCACTACTAGTACAAGTACTAGCGCACCCCCGGCTGCCTGGTCTGTCTGCGTCTGGGAACACCCGAGTTGCGGTATTTCCCATGCATTCGCGGTTTCGTGTCAAAAAGCGGAAAAGTGCATTTTTAGGACCACTACTTTTGGGAAGGGAAAAGGCAGGATTGGCATGCTTTGCTTGTCTCTTGGCCCTGCCGTGCAAGTTTAGGGTTAAGGGGAGATGCTGTGCTTGTCTCTTGGCCTGTTGTTGTGTTCATGCTCAAATATTCTTTCAGTGAATGCTGAGAACAGAGACGTCGGCTATTCTGATCTATTCTGTGCAAAGGGGCCAGGGCAATTGCCGACTGATGTAAATGATTCTGGAAGGCTTGGGATTGCCATGTGTTACTGAGAAGCCAGGAAAGCTTTCGCACTTTATGATCAAAATGGTGATGGAGAGCGAGACCGAGCAGGTTTGCAATTGTGATGTTGGCAACTGATGGCAGCTGCGGAGGAGTAGCGGTACGTAGTGGCAATAAGCATTTCGAGAACACAATTGTATCTGTTCCAAGGTATTGGATCGGGCTGAGTTCTTCACCATGTTGCACAAGCTGGATGAAGAGTGCTTTGGCAGCCACAAGTGGCAAGACTTTGTTGCAAACGCTTTGACAGCTGCCGAAGCTTTCACTTTGCCGAGGTTCTTCACCCCTCACGTGGTCGACGTGCTGCTCAAGGAGGTGGGGGTATGAGGGGAGAGCGGAGCGCACAACACATTCCCCTCGCCTTCGATTCACTTTGTCCCGCTCCCGCTCCCGCTCCCGCTCCCGCTCCCGCTCCCGCTCCCGCTCCCGCTCCCGCTCCCGCTCTCTCTCTCTCTCTCTCTCTCTCTCTTCTTGGCTTCATTTCTCCTTATGAGAGGGCAGCATAGGGCGGCCGTGGTAGGCCGCAGGCCCGATTTCCGGTCCTTTTTGGTCCTCTGGGAAGAGGATTGAAAGCCTCAAAAAGCTTCGAATAGCTTGAGCTTGTCAGTGTCAGGCGGACGTGGACCAGGACGGCAAGATCTACTACCACGAGTTCGTGCGTTGGATTTGCCAGGACAGTGTTTGAAGCACTTAAACAGATTTTTTGAGACTGCTGAAGCACAATACGTTGACATCAGTCGCATGTTTGCACGGCAACCCGTGAAATCTTTTCACACCTTTTCACATGACAGCCACAGCCACCATGCCCTGACCTAAGCAATCGGCGCGAAAGCAGCGACAACTCTCGACTCAACCAAAAGAGGCAAATTGTACAATCAGTGCACACAGTCACGGTCTTGTTTGGACCCAAATGCCTCTGAAGTGTCCCGCGGACCTGGAGGTTGAGAAATGTTGAGTTTCTTTCAACATAGTTGAAAACACGTGTCCTCAGAGCACGGATGGTCCGCTGAATGTAGGGCTCCCTTTTTTGCGAAGAACTCCACATGGGTGCTGTCCACTTCATGGTCCTTCTCTGCTCCCCGTTTTGCTCACCGATGCGCTCTGCGGAATTTGTGTTTTGTTTTTTGCTCGGCCAGCCCTTTTCATTTTTTTCTCGGCCAGCCGCGCCCCGGGTGTTGTGTCATATGAGACTGCGATTACGCGAGTAAGGAAACTGAACACTTTGACGATGTCTGTAGGCTTTTGGCTTGCAGTTGCCCTCCCAGTCCTGTGCAGTACTGCTGGGACCGAGGGGATAGCTACCCCAAACGGTACTCCTCTGTCTGCTGTCCCTGCCAGCTGAACTTTGAGGTAAGACCGAGTTTGGTTTACCTTCTCATCCCTAAACTCTGGCTGAAAAGCTGGCAGACAGTGGAGCACCTTTCCTTCAGAGAATAGCCGCTTGAGGAAAAGTGTGGTGAGTTTCCTTAAATATGTATCTCTTTATACAATAAGCTCAATATAATCTGTTGTCGGAGAACAAGTGAGAAAATAGAGAAAATAGAGTCTTTTTTTGTCCCCCTCTCTCTCTCTCTCCGAAAATAAAGACAGTAGAGGCTGACGCGGCTGGTTTTGATCGCTTCCTTGCCAGCATGACAGACAACGTCGGTCCTTCGCAGTTTGTTGTGGAGGCTTGGGTCCGCATGTTGTGGCGCACGGAGTGTCTTTTTTTGGCTAGGCCAGCGCATGCTTCACGAGGACTTTGATCTTTCGGATGTGCAGCGTGTTCCCGTGCTTCGAATCAGTCGGTGCGGCAAGCGTCTCAATGACAGCCTCGATGCAGACTGGGCAGGGCATACTCCGCAGTCTCGATGCCGCCAAAAAGGATGTCGCTGTGGGGGTCTATGTGGACTTGGGGTGGTGGTGGGGGTGAGGGTTGAAGCGGGTGTAGCAGTGGTGGTGTTGCTTCGTCGTGAGTGGTTGCGGGAAAGAAGGTTTTGGTTGGCGGTGGCTTGGCGAGGGTCTCCGTCTCCGCGTCCTTCAGGGGCAGGATTGGGCGGTGTATGCGGAAAGAACTATAAAGAACTGCGAGACCTGGTCTGGGTAGGTGGGATGATGACGATCATGTTGATGGCATTGCAATGCAACTCATGATGTTGAGGACAAACTACCCGCCGCATGGTTTCCGTGGTAGAATTACACGTCCGTTTTCAAGTCTCCCTTGGCATTTCGTGTTCCCCACACACACACACAGCGCACACAGACACTCAGCACGCACACACACACACACAGAGACACACAGAGACACACAGAGACACAGAAAAACACAGAGACACACAGAGGCACACAGAGACTCACAGAGACACACAGAGGCACACAGAGACTCAAAGAAACACACAGAGACACACAGACACACAGAGACACACACACACACACACAGACACACACACACACACACACACACACACACACACACACACACAGAGACACACACAGACACACACAGACACACACAGACACACACAGACACAGACACAGACACAGACACAGACACAGACACGGACACGGACACGGACACGGA